TGGGGGGTGTCACGGCCCAGGCTGGCCAGGGCGGAAGGATCGGAGATGCCTGCCTGGATGGTGGGTGGCCAAGGGCTCATCCTAACACCTGAACGTGACAGCTGACCCATCCCCAGCTGGCCCCTGAGACGGGACAAAGGGTTCAACCGGTGCCAGAGGAGCCCCAGCTGCCCCGAGAAGACAGCTCTTGCAGGCTGGCTGGTCACTGCCCCCAGTCCTGTGTAAACCCAGGGGTGTCCGCGGAGTGCCTGCCTCCCCGGTCGGCCGCACCGGAAGCTGAGGCCGCGCAGGTGCAATGGGGCCGGCAGCCCCCTTCCCCCGGGGCCCTGCACCTTCTGCTCTCCGCCGGGCTGACTTGGCTGGGAAGGGGCAGTGGTCCCGAGGACTGTCCCGCGCCTGCTCTCAGAGCCCAGGACCCGGGATGGGGGTGGAACAGCAGTCATGTGTGACCCCTGACAAGTCCCCTCCATCCCGAAGAGCTCCCGTGCACGTGGAGGAAGGGGAAGAGGGCGAGTATGCGCAAACCCAGCCCTTAACCCCTACTCCCAGCTTCACCCTACCCGGACCCGAAGCCTGACCCTTGATCCTGAGGCCGGTCCTAGTCTTCAGCCTCTAACACTCAGCTCACCCGAGGCCTCCAACCCGGATCCGGACCCTGACCGCCCTAGGAACCCCTACCCCTCCCAGCTCCCACACCCCAACGGCGGGAGCCGAACCTAGAGACTATGCTGGGGCTTCCTGAGGCTCACTATCCACCAGCGGACCCCGCCCTCTCGAAGTAGTGGGGCCACAGAGCCCTGGATCGAGGCCAAGAGCCCAGACAGTCGGAAAGTGGCGAGAGTTGGCGGAGAGAGCCGAGGGAGGACTTGTGCAGGCTGAGTGAGGGACGGAGTGGGCCGAGCGGTGACGGGGAGAGCCGAGCGGCGGCGCTGAGGGCCGAGGGGAGGACGTGGGCAGTGCCGAAGGTGGACGGCGTGGGCCGAGCGGGGGCGGGGAGCGCCGAAACAGGGTATGGGTCGTGTCGAGGACTGACGGAGCGGGCCGGATAGTGACGGGGAGGGCCGAGGGAGAATAGGCGTACTGTGGACGGTTGGCGGAGCCCGCCGAGCGGGGGCGGGGAGCGCCGAGGGAGGACTCGTGAGGTGCCAAGGATTGACGCAACCGCCCGACTGGTGGCGGGGAGGGGTGAGGGAGGATGAGTGCCCTGGGGAGGACTGTCGGACGGGGCGGAGTGGCGGCTAAGCGCGCCGAGCGTTTACCGAGAAGGCCTAGGACGGCTGAAGGACGGACACCCGGGAGTGCTGGGGGGAGCAGCCGAGGGGCCACGGGGAGGCCCAGGACGCTCGATGGGGCTCCAGATGGGCCGTGAGGGCTGAGAACTGACAAGGAACGAGGGGCGGCGCGCGGGCGGGGGGCGGGCTCGGGACCCCCAGGCCGGCCCTCTTGCCCAGCTGGGCCCGACCGGACCTGACCTGCTGGCGGCCGGTGTGCGGTTCCGTGGTTTGTGGCGCAGCGGCCGGAGCCGGGGGATGGCCCTGTTCGGGGTCCGTCCGTGGGCTGCGAGCGCTGGTTGTGGGGGCGCTTCTGGGAGTGAGCCTCGGGGCGGGCTGGGGGGGCGGCCGGGGTCAGGAACGCTCGCTCTCGGGTGCTCAGCACCCGCGGGGACCATCTGGCGCTCAGAGTGTGTGGCCACACGCCCCCCTGCATCGCAGCCTCCACCCTTCCCCGAAAAGTCCCAGGGGCTCCGGGGCGGAGCCGGGGTGGCCGTGACGACCTGTGACACCGGCCAGGGCTCGGTGGGGCCTGCACAGCCTCACGAAGAGCCGCACACACCCGCGCTGAACCACGTCCCGAGCCGTCGCCCTGACCTCGAGGACACCTGTGAGGGCGCTCGCCGCGGGGGGACGGACCGTGGCACGCTGCGTGCACTGCTTGGTTTTCTCATTAGGAAGGAACGTTCCGGGAAGGCACTGAAGCTCTTGCAACATTCTTTCAACCAAAAATCCGAACAAAACCCCTGCTTCCACAGAAGGATGCTAACCTTAACAATAAAAATCGTCTTACCAGCCAAAACTGAGCTTGGAAATAACAGAGAACCGCAATTCGGGACAAGCAAGTTATGACGAAGCCCTTAGCAAATCCAGCAATCAAAGGGAAGGAACTTTGTTTTATGGGAAAAAAGGAATAAGTTGGGAAGTGTTGTTTTGAACAAAAATCTAATTGACACACACAGGTAGGCGCCAGATTCTCCCCATTCTCCCCATTTTGTTGTAGCTGCTCCTTGGTTTCCTTCAAATCTGCATGGCACCCACCATAGCTCTGTGTCACCCCCAGTGTCATCTCCAAGGGCACCGCTGCCCAAAGACTGCCCCCCGCCCCATGTACAGGCCAACAGCTTGACAGTGTCCACTCCTATTTAGGAGTGAGCCAGAAGACCAGCAGTCAGCTACGAGTGCTACCTCCACAGCGGTGGGGAGCCTTTGTCCAGCCCAAAGAGGGGCTAAGTTGGGCTCTAGCGCCAAAGGCTTTCCCAGCAGCCAGGCCGCCAGGTAACTATCACCGAGTGGAGCCTGAGTTCCACCTGGTGCACGGGTTTTGTGGAGCTGCAGTGAATCCCTGCTGGACCATGCTGAGAGGCTCTCTGGTCACCAAGTCCTAAGGACAGATGATGCTCCTAGGGGAGTGCTGGGCCCTGTGTTCTTGACCAGATCTGCTACTATGGTTCTAGCATCAGACAGAATGCCTTTTCTAGGCTCCTTTTTTTCTTGCTAGCGTTTTTCTGTTTATCTAATAAATATCTCATTAACATTAACCTTTGAATGGGAAAATTATCCTAAAGAGAAGCAGTTTGAGCACAAAAATTTACACATAAGTCAATCGAACAAAATAGAGATTCCAGAACTAAATCCACACTTTTCTGGTCAATTGATCTGTGACAAAGGAGGCAAGAATATACAGTGTAAAAAGTTCTCTTCAACAAATGGTGCTGGGAAAACTGGACATGCGAAAGAATGAAAGTGGACCACATTATGCACCATACACAACATAAACTCACGCTGTGTTAAAGACCTAAATGTGAGACCCAAAACCATAAAATTCCAAAAAGAGAGCACAGGCAGTAATGTCTCCAACATCAGCCATAACAACATCTTTCTAGATATGTCTCCTGAGGCAAGGGAAGCAAAAGCAAAATTAAACTACTGGGTTTACATGAAAATAAAAAGCTTTCACACAGCAGAGGAAACCATCAGCAAAACAAAAAGGCAACCTAGGGAATGGGAGAAGATATTTGCAAATGACATATCCACTAAGGGATTAATACCCAAAACACAAAGAATTCATACAACTCAACACACAAAAATCCAAATAATCCAATTAAAAATGGGCAAAGGGTCTAAATCGACATTTTCCCAAAGAAGACAGACACATGAAAATTCCTCAACATTATTGATCATCAGGGAATCCAAATTAAAACCACAATGAGATATTACTATGTATCTATCAGAATGGCTAAAATAAAAAACACAAGAAATAATGAGTTGGTGAGGATGTGGGGAAAAACAGAATACTCATGCACAGTTGGGAATGCAAACTAGTGCAGCCACTATGGAGTTTCCTCAGAAAATTAGAAATAGAATGACCATATGATCCAGTAATTCCACTACTGGGTATTTACCCAAAGAACACTAATTTGAAAAGATATATGCACCCCTATATTTATAGCAGGATTATTTACGATAGCCCAAGTGTCCAGCAATAGATGAGTGGACAAAGAAGACGTGAGATACATAGGCACACACACACAATGGAAGACTACTCGGCCATTAAAAAAAAAATCTTGCCATTTGCAACAGCAACTGTATTTGTTGCTGTATTTTCCTCCTCTGCTTCCTGCCACTATCCACTAACTTGTAGTCGAGGGTGGTGTGTTCTGTTTACAGACGGACAGTCACGATAAACCCCTCAAGCTCTGATGATCCCTCTATCCCCTCGTCCCTCTGGCTGCAGCTCCCATACTCGCCCCTACTCTGGCTTTGTGGCAACATGATAGTACCTCCAGAAATTGCAAGTAGATAGACACAGATATCCTTCCCTGTTTGCACTCTGCACACCCCAGTATTGTTCAATAGGTTACCCTTCTTCTAAAAATAACCAGATTTGTTTTCTGCTGCGTATAGCTTAGACTAATCATTTGACTTTAATATCTATTTCTACCATCTCAAAATCCAGCTGACATAAGACTTCCTTCATAAGGGGCGCCTGGGTGGCTCAGTGGGTTAAGCCGCTGCCTTCGGCTCAGGTCATGATCTCAGGGTCCTGGGATCGAGCCCCGCATCGGGCTCTCTGCTCAGCAGGGAGCCTGCTTCCCCCTCTCTCTGTGCCTGCCTCTCTGCCTGCCTGTGATCTCTCTCTCTCTGTCAAATAAATCTTTAAGGAAAAAAAAAAAAGACTTCCTTCATAAGATCCACTTCCAAAGACTTTTATCTGCCTGAACCTCATATGGCTTCCCCCTCCCCACTTTCTACTGCAAAAAAAGGTAAGAACATAGAAATAGATAAGCCAGTAGCCACTCCGGATATTTCAAACTTTGGAAACTATTAATCAGGCATGAATCGCATAAAAATATTTACTGTTAGAACTAATATGGATGTTATAACCAACTATTATTAGTGGCAAAGGCTGCAAACCTGTGACACAGTCACTCCTTATCATACCTTCATCTCAGGAGCAGAAGAAGGATCAAATCAAAGGCAACAGAAGAAAAAGATTAACAATAGCACATATTTAATAAGTCCTTTAAAGATATTTCAACCCTTCCCTTGCAGAAAAAGCAGATCCGGTGTTATTCCTCTTTTACAGGCAAAGTAGAGGATAAGAGATTCCTGCCTCCACTGTGTTGCTCCTATGATGTGAGGGTATTCGGAAACCCAGACAAACGGTCTAGCTGAGGTAGAAAGTTGGGAATGAACCAAGGCCTAAGGGACAGATGAGGCCTTCTCTCAGGGCCTCACCGTAAGTCTAGATCTCATGCACTTAAGCCATAGGAAAGGGAAAATTCTCCCATAGAAGGAAGAGGAGAATTCATAGATAAACTCCCGAGTCCTAGCATTGGAAAAGGTTACCTTCCCACCAACATAATCCGGAGCAACTCCAATCTGCCTTGGACAGTAGGACAGAATCTGGAAGGGCTCAGGGCTAGTGCCTGTATACATGCCAGCTGAAGACAGCTGCAGGGTCCAGAATCCTTCCTCGGGGCTGATGTTGAGAAATCCTCTTCTCACTACTGACTCTCTTGCCACTCCCACCAGGCAGAATGTTGGCCATATTTCATTTTATTGTGGCCACTCCTCCTCCAACTCTTCACTCTCGTTTCTATATCCAGTGGAACTGTAACCATCGGTAGCGCCCGTTAATCCACCAAGACTGCTAGTGCCAAACATGCCCCTGGCTGCACCCCAGTACTTCGTTGCTTCTTCTCCTCTGCATCCCACCATATCCTCCACTTTCACTTCCCGGTACACTTTGCCTCATGTGAAGGCCTTACTGCCCAGCACCCCAGGCTCAGGGTCAAATCTCGGACCATGCTGGTATTTGTTCATCCACAAACCAGTGCGTATCATGCTCTTCCCATTCGGAGACACTGAGAGGAAACCACCAGCTGTCTGCGAATTCAGGATGATCCCCACTGTGGGGGCAAGGGGATAAAGGTATGGCATCGTAAGATATCAAGGGAGATTTTTCCCTTAGGTTCTGGGGCCTTCTGACCATGATGGGAGATTCCTTTCGGGGACCAGGATACAGATTCCATTGGACCTAGTGCTCATACTATCCAGAGGGTGAAGAAAGGCCAGGGAGAGAATTCAAGAGCATGAGCATAACAATGAGACTCAGGAGGAAAGAAGAGAGGAGTTGTTATCATTATGGTCAAGAAACTTTGGGGAAAGTTCTGCGGTTTTGAACTCTGAGAGCTCAGGATAAAGAATGTGGTTACATTAGCCACCGCAAAGACCTTCCTGTATAAGGAACTGATCCATGAGGGATGCCGCGCAGGCAAGCTGTAATTCAGGGTAGCAGAGTTTACTCTAAGGTGAACATCAGCCACTGTCCCCTCCAGATACTCACTGGTTTTATACTCCAGATCCCTTTGCAATTTTCTAGAAAGGAAGAAGTAAAGAAACAGTAAGCAGTCCTGACACATCTTCCAGCTCAGATTCTCTTACTGTCGGCCAACACTATTTGAAAAGGTGGCCGGGCATGATGAAAGCCCAAGCCACACAAAGAAGTCAATGCAGGAGACACACCGAGGTGCCTAATCCACTGCTGGACCTATCTGCTGCTCACACCCAGTGCTTCCTTATGGAGCCTTCGAGCACATTCTCTGGGCTTTCACCACATCTTCAACTTCTAGTCCTAAATCACACCACTTCTCTCCACTTGCAAAGACACTTCTTTGAGATTAATTCTCAAAGTAATAATCTTATTTAATTATCCCAGTATTTTTTATTCTTTTATTTTTAAGTATGATTAAAGACACATAACATAAAATTTACTCTTTAGATGTTAGGCACACGGTTCAGTAGGGTTATGTATATCTACATTGTTGTACAACCAATTTTCAGAATGGTTTTATCCTGCAAAACTGAAAGTCTGTAATCATGAAACCACAACCCCTCGTTTCCCCTCCTTCTAACCACTGGCCACCACCCTTCTACTTTCTTTTCCTATAGAATTAGTTGCTTTAGATCATTCCTCTAAGCAGAATCATACCGTATTTGGCATTTTTTGACAGTCATCTTTAACTCAGCACAATGTCTCTAATGTTTAACCATGTATCTGTGTTACCTAGAGCTTCCCAATATTTTACCTCACTTCTAGACACAAAATACCTTTTCATCAGCTCTGGGACCTACTTGTACTCTACCTTAGTCCAGGTAACATCCTTAGACTGCTGTGTGGACAGACTCCCTGGTTTGGACTGACTGACTCTCCCTCCCCAATGTCCCTGTGACTGTCCTCCACAGAAGCAGGTGGCCATGAGAACCCAAGGCCAGAGCCAAACCCTAAGGGAACATTACAGAGAAAGAAAGGGAGTTTTCTGGGCCCAGAGCCTGCCCTTCACCCTTCCTTTACCATTGAATTCTCTGATTCCTTTCTCTAAAGAACAAAGTTTGTCTGCAAACTCTTCTGCCTGCTTTTTGATCTCAGCACTGATAGGCCAGAACTTCTTCCGGGGGCACCTGGAAAAAATAGAGGCACAGAAGGAGCTCCTGAAAGAAGAGCAGGATTGCGCACATCAGCACACACACGTACACACACACACACACCAACAAGGCACACAGGGTGGGGAGCAAGATGCACGTCCAGGCATCCAGCTCCACATAAGAACTGAAGAGTACAATGCACACAATACTGAAGAAAGGGTGGTGATCCGAGTGCTCTCTACCCAACAATATGTCAATTACATGTGGTGTTAAGAAAGAAAGTCATTTTCCACCTTGGAAGTTCACTGAAACATGCTACTAATAGTTCAACTTCTCAAGAAATTACCTGAGGATATACATCAAATAAATTAAAATTAAAATATAACTTTAAATTTTAATTTTAAAAAAGCCTTTAAATTTGTCAGATTTTTTTTTAAAGATTTTATTTATTTATTTGACAGAGAGAGATCACAAGTAGATGGAGAGGCATGCAGAGAGAGAGAGAGGGAAGCAGGATCTCTGCCGAGAAGACAACCCGATGCGGGACTCGATCCCAGGACCCTGAGATCATGACCTGAGCTGAAGGCAGTGGCTTAACCCACTGAGCCACCCAGGCGCCCAAATTTGTCAGATTTTAAACCAAAGACTATAAGGGATGAAGAGGGAAACTATAAAATACCTAAAGGATCTATCCAACAAGATCTAACAATTGTAAATATGCTCCTAGCTTGGGAGCAGCCAATTATATAAACCACTTAATAGCAAAATTAAAGAAACACAATGATAATAATACAATTATAGTAGGGGATTTTAACATCCCAGTCACAAACAATGGACAGATCAACTAAGCTGAAGATCAACAAGAAAAAAAGGACTTTGAATGACACGCTGGACCTGATGGACATCACAGATATATTCAGAACATTCCATTCCATTCCATAGCAATGGAATATACATTCCTCTCAAGTGCACATGGAACATATTCCAGAATAGATCACATACTGGGTAACAAATCTGGTCTCTACTGGTACCAAAATATTGGAATTATTCCCCACATATTCTCAGACGACAGTGAGTTCAAACTTGAACTCAATCACAAAAGGTAATTTGGAAGGAACTCAAACACCTGCTTGTTCCCTCAAACACTTTAGAGCAGCCTGCTAAAGAATGATTGGGTCAACCAGGAAATTACAGAATAATTTTTTAAAATTCATGCAAACACATGAAAATGAAAACACAACTGTTCAGAACCTTTGGGATGCAGCAAAGGTGGTCCTAAAAGGCAATATATAACAATACAAGCATTTCTCAAGAAACAGAAAAAGTCTCAAATACACAACCCAGCCTTACACCTAAGGAGATGGAGAAAGAACAGAAAATAAAGCTCAAACCCAGCAGGAGAAGAGAAATAATAAATATTAAAGCAAAAATCAATGGAATAGAAACCAGAAGAACAGTAGGATAGATCAAAGAAAACTAGGAGCTGGTTCCTTGAAAGAATTAATAAGATCAATATAAGATCGATTACACAGACTTAACAAAAAACAAAAAAAAAAGACCCAAATAAATAAAATCATGAATGAAAGAGGAGAGATAACAACCAACACAAAGGAAATACAAACAATTTTAAGAACATATTATGAGCAACTATATGCCAAAAAATTAGACAATCTGGAAGAAATGGATGCATTCCTAGGAACTTACAAACTACCAAACTGAACCAGGAAGAAACAGAAAATCTGAACAGACCCATAACCAGCAAGGAAATTGAAGCAGTAATCAAAAACCTCCCAAAAAATAAGAGTCCAGGACCAGATGGCTTCCAAGAGGAATTCTACCAAACATTTAAAGAAGAAATAATACCTGTTCTACTGAAGCTGTTTCAAAAATAGAAATGGAAGGAAAACTTCCAAATTCCTTCTCTGAGGCCAGCTTTACCTTGATCCCAAAGCCAGACAAAGACCCCCTTAAAAAGGAGAATTATGGACGTTATGGACCAATATCCCTGATGAACATGGATGCGAAAATACTCAACAAGATAATAACCAATACGATCCAACAGTACATTAAAAGGATTATTCAGCATAGCCAAGTGGGATTTATTCCTGGGCTGCAAGGTGGTTCAACATTTGCAAATCAATCACCCTGATACATCACATTAAAGAAAAGACAAGAGCCATACAACCCTCTGAATTCATGCAGAAAAAGCATTGACAAAATATAGCATCATTTCCTGATTAAAACTCTCCACAGTGTAGGGATAGAGGAAATATACCTCAACATCATAAATAGCCATTTACAAAAAGCCCACAATGATTATCATTCTCAATGGGGAAAAACAGAGCTTTTCTCCTAAGGTCAGAAACACAGCAAGGATGTCCACTATCACCACTGTTATTCAGCATAGTACTAGAAGTCCTAGCCTCAGCAGTCAGACAACAAAAATAAATAAGAGGTACCTGAATTAGCAAAGAAGTCAAACTTTCACTCTTCACAGATAACATCAGACTTTATGTGAAAAATCCAAAAGACTCCACCCCAAAATTGCTGGATCTCATACAGGAATTCAGCCGTGTGGCAGTCTATAAAATGAATGCACTGAAGCCACTTGCATTTCTATGCACTAACAATGAGGCAGAAGAGAGAGAAATTAAGGAATAGATCCCATTTACAACTGCACTAAAAACCACAAGATAACTAGGAATAAATCTAAACAAAGAGGTAAAGGGTCTGCATTCTGAAAACTACAGAACACTAATGAAAAAAATTGAGGTAGACACAAAGAAATGGAAAAAGATTCCATGCTCATGGATTAGAAGAATAAACATTGTTAAAATGTCTATGCTACCTAGAGCAATCCACACATTCAATGCAATCCTTATCACAATACCATCAACATTTTTCTCAAAGCTGGAACAAATAATCCTAAAAATTGTACGGAACCAGAAAAAAAACCAAATAGCAAAAGGAATGTTAAAAAAAAAAAAAAAGCTGATGGCATCACAATGCCAAAATTCAAACTATATTACAAAACTGTAATCATCAAGACAATATGGTAGTGACACAAAAACAGACACATAGATCAATGGAACAGACTAGAGAACCCAGAAATGGACACTCAGCTCTATGGTCAACTAATCTTTGGCAAACCAGGAAAGAATATCCAATGGAAAAAAAGACAGTTTCTTCAACAAATGGTGCTGGGAAAATTATATAGAGGAATGAAAGTGGACCATTCACTTATACCATACACAAAGATAATCTCAAAATGGATGACAGACCTCAATGTGAGACAGGAATCCATCAAAATCCTAGAGAAGAACACAGGCAGCAACCTCTCTGACCTCAGTCACAGCATCTTCTTGCTAGACATGTCTCCAAAAACAAGAGAAGCAAAGACAAAAATAAACTATTGGGACTTCCTCAGGATAAAAAGCTTCTACACAGCAAAAGAAACAGTCAACAAAACTAAAGGCAGCATATGGAACGGGAGAAGATATTTGCAAATGACATATCAGGTAAAGGGCTAATATCCAAGATCTGTAAATAACTTCTCAAACTCAACACCCAAAAACAAAGAATCCAGTCAAGAAAGGGGCAAGAGGGGGCACCTGGGTGGTTCAGTGGGTTAAGCCTCTCTGGCTTCAGCTCAGGTCATGATCCCAGGATCCTGGGATCAAGCCCCACATCTGGCTCTCTGCTCAGCGGGGAGCCTGCTTCCCTTCCTCTCTCTGCCTGCCTCTCTGCCTACTTGTGATCTCTGTCTGTCAAATAAATAAATAAAATCTTTTTTAAAATGGGGGGGGGCAAGAGACATGAACAGACATTTCTCCAAAGAAGACATATAAATGACCAACAGACACATGAGAAAATGTTCCACATCACTTGGCATGGGGGAAATACAAATCAAAACCGCCATGAAGGGGTGCCCGGGTGGCTCAGTGGGTTGAAGCCTCTACCTTCGGCTCGGGTCGTGATCCCAGGGTCCTGGGATCAAGCCCCGCATCGGGCTCTCTGCTCAGCGGGGAGCCTGCTTCCTCTCCCTCTGTCTGCCTCTCTGCCTACTTGTGATCTATCAAATAAATAAATAAAATCTTTAAACAAAAAAAATTTAAAAAAAAAAAACCCGCCATGAAATACCACCTCACACCAGTCAGAATGGCTAAAATTGACAAGAGGAAAAACAAATGTTGGCGAGGATGCAGATAAAGGGGAACCCTCTTACACTGTTGGTCAGAATGTAAGCTGGTGCAGCCACCCTGGAAAACAGTACGGAGGTTCTTCAAGACATTAAAAATAGAGCTGCCCTATGACCCAAGCGATTGTGCTACTAGGTATTTATCCCAAAGATACAAATGTAGTGATCTGAAGGGGCACTCCAATGTTTATCCCAGTATCCACAATAGCCAAACTATGAAAAGAACTGAGATGTCCACCCACAAATGATGGATAAAGATGTGGTCCATACATACAATGGAATATTACTCAGCCATCAAAGATGAAATCTTGCCATTTACATCAACATTGATAGAACTGAAGGGTATTATGTTGAGCAAAATAAGTCAATCAGAGAAAGATAATTATCATATGGATTCACTCATATGTAGAATTTAAGAAACAAAGCAGATAATCATAGGATAAGGGAGGGATAAATAAAGTAAGATGAAATCAGAGAGGGAGACAAACCATAAGAACTGTAGGAAACAAACTAAGGGTTGCTGGAGGGGAGGCTGGGGACAGGGGGTAACTGGGTGATGGGTATTAAGGATGGCATGTGATGTGATGAGCACAGGGTATTTTTTCCTAGGATTGATTGATTGATTGATTGATTTGACAGAGAGAAAGCATAAGCAGGGGGAGTAGCAGGCAGAAAGGGAGGGAGTAGCAGGCTCCCCACTGGGCAGGAATCCTGATGTGGGGCTGGGGATCCTAGGGTCATGACCTGAGCTGCAGGCAGACGCTTAACCAACTGAGCCACCCAGGTGCCCCAACACTGGGTACTTTATTCAGTTAATGAATTACTGAACTCTATATCTAAAACTAATGATACACTATATGTTAACTAATTGAATTTAAGTAAAGTAAGTTAAAAAAATAAATCAAAAATAAAAATAAAAAGCTTTAAATCATATAGATATACTTCTGTATACATTTGTATAATATATATATATGTATAGCTGAGCTTTAAATTTAGCTGAGCAGAGATACCTAAGCTAAATACAAAATGAAAGAAATATGAAGTCTTAATCTTATTATCAGAAAGGACTAAATTTAAGGCAGAAAGATATTAAATAAGACAACGGAAAGTATTTATGTTACTGAGAGTATTATAATCCACAATTGAGATACAATTTCCATTAAACATCCCACAGGGGGAAAAAGCATCAAAGTATAGAAAAGCTAAACTATCAGAATAAAAAATGGGTAAGAACTGATTGCTAGTAGGAATCTTGGGCTGACCTTAGTCCATGACATCTCAAGAAGTCAAAAAAATATGTATCAATACAAAACACCTTAATAACAAAGTTACTAAGGGAAACCTCATGGAGATATATCAAATCCTATTCCAAGGACATTTGAGTGTTTGGAACAGTCACAAGAATTTACGACATGTAAACACAGAATAGCTTGATAAAGGGCAAAAGGTAGAAAGACCAACAACCCCATCTGATCACAGTATTTAAAACTATGAATGACAAACTATTAGGGAAAAACAAATCTAGCACCACTGACAAATATTCTCTTTCTTACACAAATTTTATGCTAAAAAGCAAACCAAAGTCAATTTCAAAATACCTTGAAAACAACAGTCGCAAAAGTACTGTACACTGGAAATTATGGTATTAATCAAAAGCAGGGCTCATAGAAAAAGAAAGCAAAACATTAAATTTAGGGGAAGAAAGGTAAATAGAGGAGACAAAAAGAGAAATACACCAAATAAGAAATGAAAAATATTCAGATATAAAAAGGAAATTAAATTTAAGAACATGATTTTGACCAACTATGCAAATGCTTTTGAAAATGTAATAAAAAATGATGATTTTCCAGAATACATAAATACTAAATTTTCCAATTAAAAATAGAGTGGAAAAAAAAAAAGAGGGCTTGCCTGGGTGGCTCAGTTAGGTAAGCATCCGACACTGGTTTCGGCTCAGGAGCTGAGCTCATGGTGTTGAGATCAATCCCCGTATTGGCTCTGAGCTCAGCAGAAAGTCTACTTGAGACCCTCTCCTGCCCTCTTCCCTCCCCCCGCTTGTTCTGTCTCTCTTAAGGGAAAAAAAAAAAAAGAGTGGATTTTTTTGAAAATAAAAACTTTATGTTTCTTATAAAGAGACATATAAAAAATAATATTCCTAGGTATCTTATGGTTATTGGTGCCATTATAAATTGATAGGGTCCTTGATTTCTCTTTCTGCTGCTTCCTTACTGGTGTATATAAATGTAATAGATTTCTCTAGCTTGATTTTGTATCCTGCAATGTTACTGAGTCACTATATTATACTCCTGAAACTAATATTACACTGTAAGTTAACTAATGCAAATTCAGATAAAAACTATAAAACAAGCAGGCAGAAAAAGATTCAAGTGTTCGTAGTTAGTAGAGAAGCATATGGGAAAGGACGTATGCTTCATGACTTGAAACTACACTGCGTGTGATGCATCTTTCAAATAACATCTTTTTCATGATTATATTAAAAATAATAATAAAGTAAATAAAAATAACACATAAAGACTGAGAGTTAAAAGGGTAGAGCTACCGTCCTAACACAAGTTACACGACAGTGAACTTTATAGAAATCCCAGTCATTCCATGGAATGCCTTTCGGCTTACTCGAGTCCAAGAACCTCTCTTGGAACAATCTTCTTTCCAGCCCTCGTCAGGTTTTAGTAATTTTGGAAAAAGAAAACAAAGAGCCACTTAAGTAGGTAAAAAAAAAAAAAAAAAGTTCAGACAGCACTTACCCTTACCCGCCCACTGTGTCACTGGGGTCCTGGGAAGGAAGAGAAAACAGTGTCATGGACAGAAGGATCCAGGAGCTGCCACCATTCCCTGCTGTGGACGCATCGGGGCTGGGTGCGCAGCAAAACCAGGCCGCGATCTACCCGGACCTGCGCTGCTCCACAGAGGGCATCTATCTCTCTGCGCACATGCTTCCCCCTCCCCTCCTCCATCTGAGTCCCACACTACTCCATGCAGGCAAACTTCCCTGCTCCATTCAGAGTCCCTTCAGGGTCTCAGCCTGGGCTAGAAGTCCTACGCTCGGCTGGCCCCATCCGACTGATCCCATCTTCCCTGTAATGTCCGCCCCGGAAACCTGGCTCCCTGAAGTCTGTGTGTTCTTCCTGTCTTCTGCACAGCCTGCACCCACCTTGTCATCACCAACTCATTCATCTAATTCTCACCAAAGCACCTCACCATGGTTAGCTCCTCCTTTCTGCTAATCTAAATCTTTGCTTTTTCAAGGCCAGCGTTAAGCACCTCTTCTTCCATGAAGCCTTCCCTCACTACATCCTGGTCCTTTCCAGAATTCCTGTGGCCTCCAGTCGGATCACAAGACTTAACATTTGATTATTTGTTGTAATTACAAATGTGCACATTTTACTACCTCATTGTACAGACTGCATATTCCTACCCCCTGCCCACTGCAATTTGGGACCTAAATCCTACTGGTTGGCTGACTAAGGCTTATCAGTGACTTCAGTAAATGAGAATAAAACTTTTCTCTCTCTCTTTTTTAAAAAGATTGTATGTGTCAGAGAGAGAGAACAAGCAGGGGGAACCGGAGGCAAAGGGAGAAGCAGGCTCCCCACTGAGCAGAGAGCCTGACGCGGAGCTTGGTCCCAGGACCCTGGGATCATGACCTGAGCCGAAGGCACACGCTCAACCGACTGAGCCCCCCGGGCGCCCTACAACTTCCCTCTCTTGACTCCTGGTCCCAGTCTCATGCTGACGGGGGCCCGCACTGCAGCTTAGGGCAAGACGACCCACACGGAGCTGAGTTGGTTCCTCACCTGCAGAAGCTCAGCTGCCCGCTGCTGAGGCTTTTCTTCCGACTCAGAAATCGGGGCTCCAAGTCGGAGCACTTGCACAGAGCCCTTGCTGACCTGGCCGCTCCTGCCTTCGGCCCGCTCTTGCTCAATCCCCTCCAGCGGCTCCAGCAGGCCCTGCTCTCTCTCTCTCTGTCTCAAGAACTGCTGCCCCCGTTCAAACACTGACACAGTGTCCTGCTGTGGCTCTGCAATTTCGTCTGCAGAAAAAGCAGAAAGAGAAAGGGGCTTCTCCTGAGAGGCTCGTGTGTGAGATCTTCTAGGGGGCAGTGATCCCTGGGTCACCCTCCTCCCCGCTCCCCGATGCCCGCCCCCCACTCTGCCACGCATAGGTGTCACAGAGACTTTGCTCACCAGCAGGGCCTCAAACTCATCTTCTCCTGTAGACTGAAATTCCTCAATCCTATCCCTGTCTCCCTTCAGAATCTTCAGATGCTTTATAATTTTACCCTGTGGAATTAACACGGATATGGTCAAGGTGAACAGGAAAATGCCCTCCTAACAAAAGAGAGATTCAAAGTGATTCCAGAGTAAAACCAGACACGCTTGACTTTGGTAGCATAGTAACAGTCATGTGTGATAGTTTCCGTTCTACTTAACAAAGAAGAAACAAAGCGAATGCTATGCTAGTTAGAACGATTTCTTGGGCTTGAGATACAAGTTTATTATCATTAATAATATGGTGTGGTTCTTACTTATAGTCTCCATCAAAATTATAGACAATTTACATTTTAATGAATTAATAACCTAGAAATAAAAGAGAAGCTCAAAACCGACAGTGAAAGAAAGCATACATAATAACTCCAAATTGAGAGAAATGACTAAGTTGGTTTTAAGAATCCTGTCAGTCAAGGAGAAAAGAGAAACAATTAATTGCTTAATTCTTTGTTAGCAGACGGAAGGAAACATACTAGCACCTCAGAGGAAATAATATCTTCCCTGAGATTAAGCTCCGAATGAGATCCATACAGGACAAAATACCGTCAGGACTATTTCGACAGCCATGTGCTAGAGCACACACCGTCTGAAGCTGACGTCAGGGCTGTCGAGAGTGCTGGTGTCCTGTGCGGCTAGTGGAGGCCTGTTCCAAATGCCTCAGAAAACAGACAATCAGGGCAACAGGACAGACTGACTATTATAGAAAGATATGGGAACAAACCAGTTCTACTACCAAACTTCAAAGGGCAATGCTTTACCAAGAACTTTCCCCTGACACTTGTTAGGACAGCTACTTTCTAAAAAAACAGAAGATAACAAGTCTTGAGGACAATGTGAAGAAAAGGGAGCCCTGCTGCATTCCTGGTGGACATGTTGCCTAATGTAGCCATCATGGAAAACACTGTGGATGCACCTTAAATAGTTAAACGCAGAACTACCAATTGATCCAGCAATCCTGCTTCTAAATGTTTATCCAAAGGAATTGAACTCAGGATCTCAAAATGATGCCTGTACTCCTGTGTTCATTGCAGCATTATCCAACTGTCCATCAACAGATGAATGGATAAAGAAAATGTGGTATTTGCAAACAATGGAACATTCCTCAGCCTCACAAAAGAAGGAAAAGCTGGAGGACATCATGCTAGGCGAAAGAAGCTGGACACCAAAAGACAAATACTGTGTAATCGTACTTGTAAGTGGAATCTAAAATAGTCAAACTCAGAAGCCAAGAGGGGAATGGCGGTTGCCAGGGTCTAGAGGGGAGGGAAACAGGGACCCGGCGGTCAGCGGATTCATAGTTTCAATTCTGCAAGACAAACAAGTTCTGGAGATACTCTCTTTGGCATAGTACTTACAGCTAATAATACAGTATTGTATAGTTAAAATTTGCTAAGAGGATTAATCTTACCTTATATTAAATATTCTTACTACACACACACACACACACACACACACACACACACACAATGATAATAATACAGAGGGTGGGAAGAAACTCTGGGAGGCCAGGGATAGGTGTCTGGCTTGATGACAGAGACGGTTTCACAGGTGTATACTGATCTCCAGACTCAGTGAGATGTCTACATGAAATATGCACAGGTTTTCACATGTCAATCATACTTCAATATAATATTTTCCAAAAAAAAAATAATAATTTGGATCTTGCCCTGAAGGCACCATAGTAGAACTTTTTTCGCCATGAGAATGAAGTTAGAGCCCAGCAGACTTCTTACCCAGTAAGGCTGCACAGGCTTCTTCAAGAGAACAGCAGTATGAGGCCTGTGCTCCCGGGCCTCCTGGCCCATCACACACAGTATTTGCTGGTCACCCTTGCAGTAATAATGGAGCTTCTCCAAATGTAGCCCACATAGCATCTCTGCATTTTGCTCAAGTGGTCTGTCCTCTCCGGGTGGTCTCTCGCCATCTATCTTCATCCTCCAGATGTTTTCCACTAGGCGGGCCATCTGCCGCACGTGGCGAATATTCTTTCTCTTAAAGACGGCCTTGCAGAGAGAACAATGCCATGGCTGCCTGGGAGATTCGCATACCCGGATGATGCAGTGAAAGCAGAGGACATGACCACAGTCCGTGGCTACAGGGTCTCTCAAGAGAGACCTCACCCTCCAGCTCTCTCGGAGGGGAGGCGGCAGCCATGACAGCAGTGCCCAGAGCCTTCACAGAGCTCCTTCTCCAGGCGAGCAATCGCTTTCTAAGAAGACATGAAAGACAAAAGAAATCGTGAATTTAACCAACACCAAGATAGAAACTGTGAGAAAGTTTTTGTGTTTAGTCTATTCCCACATGTATTTAAGTGGGGTATTCTAGAAGACTGTGGGAAAGCCAACCCCCGGTGAAGTCTAAGGAATTTGCTTCACTTTTAGTAGATAAGCTCAGTAAAAAATATTTGCTATAGGGGTGCCTGGGTTGCTCAGTGGGTTAAAAGCCTCTGCCTTCGGCTTTTCATGATTCCAGGGTCCTGGGATTGAGCCCCGCATCTGGCTCTCTGCTCCATGGAGAGCCTGCTTCCTCCTCTCTCTCTGCCTGCCTCTCTGCCTACTTGTGATCTCTGTCTGTCAAATAAATAAATAAAATCTTTTAAAAAAATATTTGCTATAAATAATTCAGTAGTAGAGAATAAGAATTATAAAAATGTAGGGCTGTATCTCAAAACTCATTGAGAACATGAAAGTTAGACGACTAGAAAGCACTAGGTCTGTTATTCATATCCTGCCTAGAAAATCTCATCATCATGGTTTAAACTAATGGTTTTCAACCATGTTTTGAAACATAAGAAATGTATTCACATCCCAACTTAAAATACTTGCATATGCGTGCACGCACGCACACACACACACACACACACACACACACAAATGTAAATTTTGGTAAATACACTTATTCTTTTTTTTTTAAGGTTTTATTTATTTGACAGAGATCACAAGTAGGCAGAGAGGCAGGCAGAGTAAGAGGGGGGGAAGCAGGCTCACCACTGAGCAGAGAGCCCGATGCAGGGCTCGATCCCAGGACCCTGGGATCATGACCTGAGCCGAAGGCAGAGACTTAACCCACTGAGCCACCCAGGTGCCCACACTTATTCTTTATTACATATAATACACTCTGATTTCTTATTACAATCATTTTTTCATGTTTTGATATGTTTCATTGGAGCAAAATCTCAACAAAAGGTTTCTTTTACTTACAGAATTTATGCAGAGACTGTCCAAACCACTTGGATCCAAGTGAGAATAGCCACTAAACCTCTTTACGTATAGCATACCAAAAAAGTTTCCCAATATTGTAAATTACAAACCCATCCCTTAATTAACTATAAAAACAGCTTTAAAAACACACAATTTAGACTGGTTTAATCTTGAAAGGTAACCCAATAAGACTAAAAACTAAACATTCCAGGTCCTGTACCAAATAGTAAAATATTCAAAGGTCTTCAGGATGCTTTGACTGATTTGCATCAATAAGAGAACCTGTTTTTGATGTGGTAAAAGAAATGTGTTCACCTCCAGTTCCAACTCCCAGCTGCTGTCAGCCAACCCTGTCACTCTTCCATCAAGCTCCTGTGTACATCAGCCTCCTTCTGATCGTGACCTCCTCTTTGCAGCTGCTAAACCTAGAAGTATTTTCAGTACCTTGGAGACAGTCTTTGAGATGCTAGTCCACTCTCTTTCCAGGGCCAGCCTCTGAAGTAAATTCCTTTCTCGTCTCACCACCACTCAGTTTTCTGCCTTTTATCCGTGGTGAGCAGCTGGGAACCCCAGAGCCAGGTGCTCCTGGAGCCCATACAACTTCAGCTGCTGTGGTCTTGAGGAAGCTTTCCCCGACTCCTGTGCACAGCCCTCACCACCGCACTCTTGGAGCCACTTCTGCAGAGCAGGTCTTGTTCATGTTCCTTGACATGTGGTCTTATACACACTGCCTGAAGGAATACAATGTTTGAAAGGGGATTCTGAAAGTTACTGGTCCTGGAAGATTTTAAGCATCCATTGGACCATTTCATGGTGAGATATTCTTTAAAATGTTCAAGTATGGGGCCGCCTGGGTGGCTCAATCAGTTGGGCGTCTGACTCTTGATTTTGTCTCAGGTCATGATCTCAGGGTTGTGAGACTGAGCCCAAGTCAGGCTCCATGCTCAGCAGACAGTCTGCTACAGATTCTCTCCCTCTCCCTTTGCCCCTCGCCCCTCTAAATAAAATAAAATAAAAACTCAAGTATACTGTCAAGTAAACTAGATGGCTTTTAAAGCCTTTTCCGGTGCCCTGACTGTAGGATTCTGACTACTGTACGTTCAAGTTTTCAGTGTCATCCAGCTGAAACTCAAACTCCAGAAACTCGTGTCCAAACTTGTCTTTTTGCCCTTTGTAGTAGCACAGGTAGAAATCACTGGTCATGGCCATTTTTGACCCTGCAGAGCCTACCGAAGGCCCAGCCAATGTGCCATAAGCTGCCTTATGACAGTCAACTTTTAAATGCTGGTTATAACTCACAAAATTTGATGTCATGATACAAGGTATTACAACAAACACTTGGAAAAACACTGATTTGAACTATAACAACTTTATCACTAACCCTCAACTCTACCCAGAAATGCAACTCTAGGGAGCTACGAAGGCCTCCTCAATGACCACCTGAATGTACTGAAGAAGATGTACCATATGAGCACTAACCGAAAGACAGCTGGAGTAACTATGTTAGTATCAGATAAACTAGACTTCAGAACAAGATACCCTACAAGAAATAAAGACAATTATCACATTATGACAAAGTAGTCAGTTTTCTAAGACCCTTATCAAATACACGTGTCCCAGAGCTGCAAAACACAGAGATCAAAAAACTCCATAGAATTGATGTGAGAACAGGTAAACCCACAAAGAAGCTGGACACTTCGACCACTCACAAATTGAAAAAAGGGGCACTTGGGTGGCTCAGTTGTTAGGCATCTGCCTTTGGCTCAAGTCGTGATCCCAGGGTCCTGGGATCAAGCCCCACATAGAGCTCCCTGCTCAACGGGATCTGCTTCTCCCTCTTCCACTCCCCCGGTTTGTGTTCTCTCTCACACTGTGTTTCTCTCTGTCAAATAAACAAATAAAAATCTTTAAAAATAAGACAATGAAAAAAAATGAGAAAAAAATTAGACAGACTGCCAGTAAGGATGAAGAGGACCTGAAAAACCCTGTTGGCGAACTTGATCTGGTGAGATTTACAACACATTCTTCCTAACAAAAGCAGAAGACACCTTCTCTTCAAGTGCAGACAGAATATTTGCACAAAGGGACCATATTGTTCGCCATAAAACAAACATTAACAAACATAAAAGAATTGAAATTGTATAAAGTATGTTCTTAGAATGTAATAGAATTAAACTAGAAATAGATAATTGAAAAATATTGGAAAATCTCCAAACATTTGGAAATTAAACAACACACTTTTTAAAAAAAATTTATTTATGTATTTGAGAGAGAGAGAGCACAAGCAGGGGGGCAGAAAGGGAGAGAGAATCTCAAGCAGACCCCACACTGAGCACTGAGGCCAACACGGGACTCAATCTCAGGCCCCTGACATCATGACTTGAGCCAAAACCAAGTTAGACACTTAACCAGCTGTGCCACCAGGTGGCCTGAAACAACACATGTTTAAATAAGCCATGAGTTAACAAGAAAAACATGAGGGCACAGCTTGTGATGAGCACTGGATTTATTCACAACTGATGAATCTTGAAAAAAAAAAAAAGCTAATGATGTACCATATAGTGGCTAACTGAACATAATTTTAAAAAAAGAGAAAAAGGAAAAAAAAAGAAAGGGGGGAAATAAATAGATATGTACATACATACTTACTGGTGGGGAAAAAAGAGAAAAACATGAGGGATATTAGAAAGAATTTCGAAATGAAGGTAAATAAAAATATAATATACAAACATTTGTGAAATGCAATTAAAACATGTTTATATGTGGGATGCCTGGGTGGCTCAGTCATTTAAGCTGCTACCTTCGGCTCAGGTCATGATCCCAGGGTCCTGGGATTGAGTCCTGCATTGGGCTCCTTGCTCAGTGGGGAGCCTGCTTCTCTCTCTACCTCTGCCTGCCACTCTGCCTGCTCGTGCTCTCTCTCTCTCTCTCTCTGACAAATAAATAAAATCCTAAAAAAAAAAAATCATGTTTATATTAGACAAGGAATGTCCTCTAGTCAATTATTGAAGATTTCACTTGAGGAAATGGAAAAAAAGAAAAACAAGTAAAACCCAAAGCAAGTAAAAGGGGAAAATACAGACAAAAACTGAAATCCTAAAACAATCTTAAATTTTGTATGGAACCATAGAAGGCCCCCCAAAACCAAAGCAATCCTGAAAAAGAAACCGAAAGCCGGCAGCATCAAAATGTCTGACTTCAAGCTCTATTACAAACCAGTGATCATCAAGGCAGTGCGGTGCTAGCACAAAAACAGGCATATAAAATGACATATCAGATAAAGGACTGGTATCCAAAATCTATTAAGAACTTCTCAAACCAAACAGCTGAAGAACAAACAATCCAATCAAGAAATGGGCAGAAGACTTGACAGACATTTCTGCAAAGAAGACATCTGAATGGCCAACAGACACATGAAAAATTGCTCCACATCACTCGGCATCAGAGAAATACAAATCAAAACCACAATGAGATCCCACCTCACGCCAGTCAGAATGTCTAAAATTAACAAGTCAGGAAACGACAGATGTTGGTGAGGATGTGGAGAAAGGGGTACTCTCCTAATGCACACATTGTGATTATAGTGAATAATACTCCACTTTAGACTTAAAAATTACTAAAAGTAGGTATTGATGTTCTCACCACAAAAAAGTGGTAAAGGTGGGTGTTAGCGCAGTATGATGTGATTAAGGTGTTAGCTAATGCAAAGCTGGTGATCATGTTGTAATACGTACATGTATCAAACCGACATGCTGTACAAGTTCAACTTACAGTGTTATGTGCCCACCGTACCTTGATAGAGCTGGGGGAAATGAGGAAATGCCAAAGATTCCACAAGAAGTAGACAGAGTAATAAAAGAGTTTTGTAAAGGCTTCAGGATATAGAGTCAATATGGAAAATCAATTTTATTTCAATAAATACAAATAAACAACTGGAATTGAAATTTTAAAATA